ATCTAGTTTTTTTTTCCTCCGGAGATTTTTGGTCAACCGTAGCACAAAAATATGGGCGGAATTTTTAGTCAAAACATATTAAATAAATAAATATAAATATAATTAAATAAATAATGTAGTTAATAAAGTATTAATAAATATTCCATCAAATACATAAATGTCCCCATGGGGAAAAAACTAAATTAATATATTATAGGCATAATACATTTTTAGCATGTCATTTATTTATTTATTGTATTTTGAATAAAACGTCTCTCCATACTAAAGCAGGCCTGAAGTCAGTCAATAACTGATACTAGGTAGCTGAAAAATTACGACTTCAACTACAAATAGTGTATTTATTATTACTTACTGTCATAAATAATAATAAATATTTACCAGTCGACACTTAGAAAATGTTCTCTGCTTATAAAAAACTTGTCTCTACTAATACTGGCTAACCATGTTCTCAACAGGCCAGGTTCGTCTAACAGAAACCTAAAAATAGTCAAATATATAGTATTATTTCACACTGTGTAAGTCTGACATGAATCAGAGGTAAAACCAGCTGTAATATTTAATAATCTGTGTTAAATTGCAGCATGATTCATCAGAGAGCTACACTCTGTTTTATGCTTCAAGCTAATATCTGCTAACCTGTTCAATAATTAGCAGTGATAACATTGGATTTATAAGTTTATTTTAATTTTAATGTTAAATTATTAGCTTCAGTTCTGCTCAGCTCATTGAGGTAAATAAGATCAAATCTGTTTACTTTTGAAATGAGACGTTTTCCTGTTTCTCTTCTGTCTGTAAATCCATAACTCACACAGCTTTCTGATATTTTTATACACATTAAACAGCTTCTAAACACTCATGGATTCAGACATCAACTGTGTGTCAACATCATACAACAAGTTCAGTGGGAATGATACAGGTCTTATTTGCCCAGGTGTCTCTAGTTTTAGCCTGATCTTTAAGTTTTGTTTTTCAAGAATCATGTTTTCTTTTTGAACTCTTAACATCCACATGCTTTGTAGTTTGTGTAATGATATAGGAATGATATAGTTGTTTTACATCTTGGTCTTTCCTCAGGTTTATCAAAGGCTTCATGTACCGCCACAAAGAGCGCTGTCCAGAGAACGAGTACTTCCTGGATTATGTGCGCTACTCCTACCTGATGAAGCTGCGCAGGAACCTGCCGAAGAACGTCTTAGATAAGAGCTGGCCTACACCTCCAGCTGCTCTGACTGAGGTGGGAATCTGGCATAATCTGAGTTTAGACGCAACAAAACAGCTGTCTGATTTATGTATTCATTTTTATTGCAAACTGTATGTTCTGACAGTGACAACATAGCAGGAAAACTTTTACACAATATTTTGACCTGTATGGTTGATTCAAACACATTTTATGCACAACAGAACAGTATCAGTCCTGATCCTCCACACAGTCTTTACAGAGGTCATACAGGTGAGACAGAAGCTGCGTTTCCATTGACCATGAAAATGCGCAAATTAGAGTTTCAAAAATAAATTTGCTCAATGGAAACACGTCAATTTCGAAAAAAATTACATTTTTCGACAAAAATGTTTTTGCCCTAGGATGAGGTGGTTTTTCAGTCGTATCGAAATTGGTGTTTTTCGCAAAACTGCAATGGAAACACTTTTTTCGCATCACGGGAGTCACGTGATCAACAACCGGCTGTTTCTACTGG